GGGCCTGTCTTGTATGTGACTTCTCTTTCTCCTTCTCCCTGCCTCCTGTGTTTGTGGGGACACTGTCTGCTTGTGGCACATAGTCCTGATTAGGGTTGSGCAATATTGGCAAAAAAATTAATCACAATTAATTGTGGTATTTAGCCGATAACGATTAATTTGACGATTAATCCCCTGGAGTCCCTGGATACACTTATTTCGTAGGCACATGACCAATTTAGTGTGAAAGATTTGCTCTTTGTAAAAAATTGTTCCAAACTGTGTGAAAATTACAGATTTCATCATATTTTAAATTGTGTTGATAGATAAATTACATAATTTTATTTTTAATTTTCATCATATTTGAAGTGGAGAGAAGCATCGAGCGGACTGACCGGAATAATCTCCAGTCAGTCTGCCTGGTAGCATTAATCGTCAAGTGCCAAAAAGTAATTGATTAACGTTTTTCTGACGATTAATTGCACACGATATGATTATGCCCAACTCAACTCCTGATGACTCCTAATGTGTGTTCTGTGGGTGGTGGGAATCAAAACGCAAATACTGGTCTGTATGGGTGGGTTTGCGATGTACGTCCTTTTTCACCCGTCCTCTTATCAGAAACGGAAGATGTTTACGCACTGCAAGGCCTGGCCAGTCTGGCCTGGCTCTCCACCAGCCCTGCCCTGCTTTTTTCGCACTGTGCTGAGAGCCGCCTCAAAGTGGGTGGGAACTTCCACTGGAAAAGCGCAAATTTTGTTAGTGGCATCATTTGATTTGCGACTCAACAACGGACACCGCCACAGAGCTCTTGACTGTTTTGATGTTCATGTTAAATTACAGATTGCAGTGCTAAAATGGATACGTAAACGTAGAGTTAGATGACGACTGGTGATGCAAAATAGTGAGGAGAGGTACCAAAGGCTGTACCTGGCCATACAGCAACAACAAGCGGCTACAAGAGTAATACCACATCGACTGGTAAGCAATATTAGCTAGCATTAGCTTGTGTTTACATGATACGGTTATGAAAATAGTTGCTATTTTGTAGATTGATTTGTAATAACTTTCCAGACTCGTTTGGATAATTGTCAATTTGTTAAAGTGTATCTTACCCCCCTGTGAAAAGATAACTCCGCCCCAAGGCGAAATTTGAAAAATGCATCAAAGTAGGAAGGGGAGGGGGTGGTTAGAGAGCGGAGGTGTGGCCAGGACGAGAGAACGTGACAGCCTCGGCTGAGCTGTCTGCCTCACAGGACAGAGGAGTGGAGCGCTCCGCGACAGCCTGACAGAAAAAAAATAAAAGCATACAGCTGCATCTGCTCTCAAGATCACTAGTTTAAATCAGGAATAAAAGTGTTGGGTCTTGTTTGACTGAAGTTTGGTCCGTTATGGCTGTAGCTGCCCTGCTGTGTTTCTGCTCTACCCATATGAGCAGCAAAAAGACGTTTTTAGACCAGATGTTACAGATTTGGACAAATACGCACAAAAACATCAAAATTAGCACAGAAGCAGTACTATATAACATTTTAGACACATTCTAGACAGTTTATCAGCTAAAAAAGTTGATTTTGGGGTAAGTTACTCTTTAACTTACTGTAACAGAATTGGTGAAGTTATTTTTGTTCTATTTAGATGATGTACCGCCTCCGGGGACCGTCTGTCCTGGCCTACAAACGAAGTGGTGGGACCTTATTGTTCCAAGATTTACCGAAGCGCAATGGGTCCAAAACCTTTGTGTGTCTGAGGAAAGTTTCAACTACATCTGCTCCAAATTACGACCTGCTTTAGAGCAGGAAGACACAACCTTTAGAAAATGTGTGGAGTTAAAAAAAGAGTGGCCATTGCTCAGTGGAAGCTTGCTACAGGCTTAGAGTACAGGAGCATCGGACATGTTTGGTGTAAGCATTACAACTGTATGCACATGCATCCAGGAGTTCTGTGCTGCAGTACAGGATTTGTTATTGCCTGAACTTATATTTCCAACTCCGCTTTATGAAGATGGCAGCCTATCTTTAAGACCAGTGGGGTATCATGTCACGTTTTTTTTTTTTCTGTACTGACAAGTACATGTAAGGTCTGTGTCTGCTGTAGCACATTGCATACAAATGTTAATTTGTCTACAGATTGACAATACATTTCCTCAAAATTTCAGCTAGTGTTCTTTGTATGCACACACACCTGTTCTGCAGTTAAACAACATGACTCCATAGTTATAAATATGTGTTTGTTTATGAATGTATATACACAGCTCTCCAGCTGTATGTATTAGGGGTGTAAGAAAATATCAATACACTGAAATATCGCGTTATTTCATTTTCCGATACTGTATCGATATTCTAAATCCCTGTATCGATTTTTGATTAAGGTTTAAAATGTCAACTTTCCTGCCAGCCGTTCATTTTATGTTGTAGTTCGGCCTCTGACCGCTAGTTGGCAGCAGTGAGCCAGCCATTTGGCTCCTCTACCTCTTGAGCGCCAGAAAACAACAAGTACACTTCGCCGCAGCATGCAGAACGGGGCGGTGACGGACCTTTCCGTCAGTCCCATACCTTATATGGAAATGGGACTATTGCATTCCGAAAATTAAGGGGGCGCTAGTGACACTATTTTCTATCGAACACTTTCAACATTAAAAATACAAATTTTACAGTAAGGAAATGGCTACAAAACGTGTTATGTCATGTGGTATGTCCCTTTTTCATTTTCAAATCTTTATTAAATCTTTGTTGTTTTTGGATATTAATATTATATTACAGTAACAAACTAACCTTAGGCATTAGGCCTGTGAGGTTAACCTTAGGCATTAGGCCTGTGAGGTTAACCTTAGGCATTAAACCTGTGAGGTTAACCTGAGGGTCTGTGTTTGGGGAGGTGGATAAAAGAAATTAATAAATAATGCTCTGAGTACTTGAACGTGAGTAGAAGAAACTCTCCAACTTCTTCCTTTCTTCTTCCTTTGCTCTCTTAATCCCGCGTCTTTAAGGAGCAACCTTCATTTCCGGTATGCAATAGTCCCATTTCCATATAAGGTATGGGACTGACGGAAAGGTCTGTCACCGCCCCGTTCTGCATGCTGCAGCGAAGTGTACCTCGAAAACAAGGGTAGCATTAGCATTGTGAGTAATGCTCCGATAGCTGAATCTGAGCAGAAAAGACCGACTTCTGCCTTCTAAGCTGAGGTAAGGTTACGAACAGTTACTTATTTGTCAGAATGTCTGTATTTTAAAGTGTATCTTACACCCCCCCCCCCCCCCCCCCCCCCCCCAAAGTGAAACTATATCTTCACCCCCAAGGCAAAATTTGAAAAATGCATCAAAGTGGGTAGGGGAGGGGGTGGGGAGGGGGGATAGAGGGCAGAGGTGTGGCCAGGATGAGAGAACGTGACAGCTAGCATTAGCATTATTGATGCAGCATGGAGAGTGACCAGCGATGCAGATAGTTACATCTCTGAACGGTCTGAGGTGGAGGATTTTTCACCCCCCTCCTCACAGAGGCAGAGAGAGACTTGATCATGTCAGCTCAGAATGGGACTGACTCGTGTTGTCTCCCTGGATCAGGACACGGCTCGCTTTACCGCAGCCTCAGCTGAGCTCTGTCCGCCTCACACCACACCAGCCTCGGAGAGGAAGTGGAGTGCTCCGACAGGCTGACAGAAAAAAATAAAAGCATACAGCTGCAGCTGCTCACAAGATCACTAGTTTAAATCAGGAATAAAAGTGTTGGGTCTTGTTTGACTGAAGTTCTGTCCAGTTCGTGCTGTTTCTTCATTTCACAATGACGGGATGATCGCGGACATGCAACTGCTTGGCTGCGCCGCACGCTTTCTGCCTTTTTTCCCCTCCTCCCCCTTGAAATTAAATTTAAGACCAACTTCACAATAACCACAAATGAGGAAAAACAAGAACAATTAGTCATATCTTAATTTATTCATGTTATATTATATTTTATTCACTTTTTCAAAGCTGACAGACTTCAGTTGGCTGTAAAACAAACCCAATATTTAATCCATCTCCTTGTCTGTTGATGTAGGAGCTGGAAGTCAGAGGTTGTTATTAATATCAATCTGTTCATTGTGTAGTTAATATTTTAAACATGTAGTTGCTTGGCACAATGACATATTACAAAAACTAAATTAAGAACAAACAATATAAAAGTTAAATTCTCCTCTAAAGTCATTGTTTGGGATAAAGTATCACATTAATTTCATTATCATAGCTATAGCAGTGAGTTTAAAAACAGGATGATTAAACAAAAATCTGTCTCTATTTAGTTATTTAATCAAGTGCTTTTTTATGTAGGTAAAAGTATGTTTAGGAACCTGGTAAAATACACCAGAATGCAGGAAACTGCATCTACTAATCTCAAAGTTTTCTGGGGGAGGACCCCTAGACCCCGCACTAATGGCCCCCTCACACACTTTACAATGCTTCTGATGCTCTTTGTTTAATGTTAAATTATTGCACCACAGCAGAAACATTTACTTTGTTGTTAATGAAGTGTGAAGAGTCAGATTTGGGTCGGTGGACGTTATTTTTAAACAAATAACAGTTTCAAAATATATTGCTAGTGTTGATTGTAAAGATGTTTGTTTAATAACTTTCATCGTTATTCAACCTTAATTTCAACTAATTTTACAATGGTATTTTTCATTCACCCATAGGCTATTATGAGAGTACACAAAAATAACTTGGAGGGAAATCATTTGCTGAATGTTTTGTCCCCGCTCCAGTTCAAATATCCTATCTGCGCCCCTGGTCCGCAGGACACCTTCAGAGACTGTGACTCTGCTGAAGATTCTCATCACATCTCTGACCACAGCTGAATCTGAGAGGAACTTCTCAAGACTGAAGAGAATCCAGCCTTTTTTTCAGGTACATCACATCTCACTGCGCTGACCATGCTCTATAGAGAAGAATTTTGTTAAAACATCCCTGACTTTAACCAGAGTCATGAAGAAATTTGTTTCTCAGTTACAAAAGAGCAAAGTTTATGCACTAAAAATAAAAACTACAAGACAGTTTTATTATTTAGATTCGTTTAATAAATACACTGGCATGAAACAACTTAGTACAAGTTTAATTGCTTTTTGAGATAAGTCTATTTTGGAATTGTAGCCCCCCCCTCCCCCTCCCGGAGAAAAATCCACCAGCCGCCACTGAATTCAACATGAACTCATTTTCTTATAAAACAAAGTACAAAGTATCATTAAACTCTCACCTGAAACTGAACTCGGGTAGAAAAGAAACATAAAAGTCACACAAAAAATATTTACAACCATTATTATTTACATCCTTCAAACATTTAAATTTATTCATCGATATTTATTTCTGTGAATTCATTACTCCCATTACTGTCCTCAGTAGCCTGCACGTTGGCTGCAGGCACCTGGTTTTCAGCTTGAGTCTCGTTATTTTTACTTCCGTCTCTCCCCTCTTCCTTCACCTGCAGCTCCAGCCTCAGCAGCTCCTTCTCATTCAGGACCAATTCCTCCTCGATGGCCCTCTGCTGCGCCTCTCGCACTTTCCTCTCCTCCTCAGCCTTCTCTGTTTTCTCCTGCTTCCTCAGCTTCCAGTAGAAGGCCAGGTTTTTCTCAGGGTAGGTGACTTTAGCCAGCGGCAGCTTAAAGATTTGTTTGGTCTCCGTGGTCAGGAGGAGGAAGRTGAGGGYGGAGAGGCAGAACGRCCAGGTGCATGCTGGCAAACCGAACTGTGGATAAATCAAAATAAACCCCATTTGGTACCAGTGTTTTATTTTAAATTAATCAGTACAGTCTGTGGATGAACCTAGAATGACGTATATTTACCCTGGACATAATGTTGGCAATGGCTGAGGTGAGATATGCGCAGAAAAATGCTGCAGAGAAGAAGAAAACGTTGAGATGACAACAGATAACCTGCTTTGTGTTTCCTAAAGTTGCTCACGGTAACATGACGTCCCACACCCATCTCCTATAGATTAGCTGACTTTCAGATAGTCTTTTTTTTTATCTCTCGGTGTCTACTCACCACAAGTGATGGCGAGCAGGTGCACCTGCCAGGTGAGAGCGTAGAACATTCCTCCGATGGCGATGCAGACCAACACACAGTTGTAACCCCACAGGCCAAAATAAATATCTTCAAACGGGGCTGCTAGAGCCAAACCTGAAAAAACAAACAATCAGATTCCTACTAAATACAGATACTGAATTTATTGTGTTACTGTTCAGGGAATACTGTACACTGGACTGAGGCTGTACAAAGTTTGCTTTTGATCTTCATTACTTTACAACCCCACTGACGTTTCACCAGGTTTCGGGTGCGTTATCTCACCTGACACCATGCCCACAGCAGATCCCAGAACAGCATGAGCGCAGGTGATGGGGGAGGAGATGAAGAGGGAGATGATGAACATTCCTCCTGTCCAGGGATTGTCACAGCCGTAAACCTGCCCTATCCCCACAGGCACTGACCTGAACAGCTGAAAAAAAGAGACTAAAATATTTGAAAATGCTAAATTCACTAGCGTGTTAACGTGGAGCRTTGTTATTAGGCCCCCCAGCAGACCTTTGGGACGTTGATTTCAGCCCAGGTGATGTTTGGGAACTCGGAGCGCGGCTGGATGAGCACCAGGGGGAAGTGGTTGTTGTAGTGTCCGGTGGCGACCATGTGGAGACACACCAGGATGTTGAAGGGCAGCGTGAAAACGGGCAGATCCCAGCGGCTGCTAATGGATGCCAGGGCACTGGACACAATGGGACTAAAACACAACGATGCAGAACATCATCAGCTGTGTWAAACAGACTGCACATATGAATCACACAGCTTTTTAACCACTGGTACTCTTTGTTTCCTTTATAGCTGACTGAGCAACGTGAATTGGAAATTTAAACTTGGATCTACCTTTTCATTACTTTCTAACCTTTTATTGTTCAAACATTTTTGGCAGCTTACCAAAAATTAGTTATACACCACCTCCTATCAAGCTTAGCTTCGACAGGTGTCGATCAAAGATGTTGTGCTAGCGACGTTTTTCTTAAACAAATTGTGTTAGGGGAGATATTTTATTATTTTTATAATATTGCTGCAGGTAGTGAATAGAAAACAGGTCCTGTGTTTTATTACAATCGACTAACTAAAGGCAAAAATCTCAAAAATATTCAACAAACATGACGTTTCAAATAATAAATATTGGTATCTGCGTCACTAGCCATGCTTGTTATCAAATATTGGCCCACCCCTAAAATGTAGGGACCCTGTAAGACTATTTAAAGGAATAGAAATCCCAYCCCCTCTTCTCTGATTGGATAGTGTGAGCACTACTGGGAGCTGAAAGTCTGGGGGAGATTTAATTACCCTGATGTGACAGAGGGTTTATCTAAATACTAGCCACTATAATAAACTGACCTCAGGGTTCACAAGTAAAGATAACTGTCATGGAAAAAAAATATCCTTAAAGGTCTTACGTTTCTTCTAAGGCAGAGAGTCAGTGACCTCTTTTGCTTACCTTAAAATGTCATGTTTTATGATTTTACTCTTTAACTTCTGTTTTCTCTCGGACAAAGTGTTTTAAGATCAGGACAATATCTGTTTAGAAGTAATCATTCTTGTGGCTTTTTTTGTTATCAAACATCAATCTCTCCTCGGCCCAGTTTTAGCACCAAGAGAGATGTTAATTGTTTGTCTGGATAACATTCTGTATAAATGCTTGTATTTGAAACTGCCTCAGTGCACACATTTTGTACCACTGCCCTGTGTGACATGATGTGTATCTTGCAAATTACAATAAATCCTATTGACCATTTTCACCGAGTGCTTTTTATTCTTGGATCTCGTGTTTCTGTCTAGGTAAAATAAAAATTTCCACGACTATAACTATTCTATTATCCTTATGGGGTATATCTAGTTACTAGGGCTGCAACTAACGATTATTTAAATGATCGATTAATCGGTTAATTGGTCAAATCATTAAAACGCTTAATTACATGAATATGAGTAGATATAAATTAAGTTAACTCCTTAAGGATGCAAGTTATTGATTATGAATTAATCTGAAGTTGATTTATCTTAAAGATTGATAACAATTGATTAATAAGCAGCCATTCTTTTTAAATAAAACAGGTTTCTCTTGAATCAAGAGGGTCTTCCCTTAAAATAGATTTTTTATAATCTGCTAAATTTAGATGCACGTAATACATATTTTAACAATTTATTTTGCCAGCTGTATTAAAAACTGACTGAAAAAATGTTTATTTCTCCTACATGAAACAACAGAAATTCAATAGGTTGCTGAATGAGGAAAATAGATTAAAATAATAAATTTTTAGATGTAAAACTAGGGCTGCCTCAAACGATTATCTTTATAATTGATTAATCAATTATTTTTTCGATTAGTCGACTAATCGGATCATATGTTAATTGAATTTAAAACATCCAGCTTATCGTGCAAGAATGCAGCTGCTATTATATTACCATCATTAGATTTTAGCTAAATGCTAACTAAAAATAATTGCTGTGGAAGGCAAGTTCTGCTCTGCAGATATTGCACAGGTTTCTCTTTCATTTTCTTAAAATGATCCCACACTTTTCAGCTCCGTTGCTGGGAAGCCATGATACCAGAGCCTGTCTGTATAATGTCTTGTGACGTCCATGGCCTACCCCAGTTACCACTACTGTGCATGTGTGTCAAGGACAGAAAGGCAGATGTGGCAGTGGAAGGTGTCAAAGCAGTTTGGAGAGAAAAACAAAGTAAAGAACAAAAAAAAAAGAAAATCTATTAAATTAGTCATCGGTTATTTTAATAATCGATTAATCGTTGCAGCCCTGCTAGTTACCCTGATGGGACAGAGTGTTTATTATCTAAATACTAGCCTCTAGATAATAAACTGAATGTACAACAGGAGGTCTCAGAACATTCAATTAACAAACTGCTCTTGATTGATGTGTTGTATAAACTAGATGACCTCTAAGGTCACAAATTTCCTTGTTTTTATGCCATGTTTAGTGTTTTTCTTACCACATCATGGACATGAAGATGTTGGGCAGCAGGAGCCACCAGTACCAGTTGCCTTTATTGGAAAATATAGCCATGAGCAAACCCACCAGGATACCGTTGTATCCATACAACCCTGCAGCTATGGCTTTCCTAAAGAACAATTAAAAATTAAAATCGATCAATTCCTGTGATTCAAAAACAAAGTTAAGCAGTTTATTCTTTGTCTGGGTTTCTACCTGTTTTGTTGCAGGATGAGAGCAGAAATGGTAGCGAAGAGTGTGCCCACAAAGCCATTGAGGGCCCACCAGTAATTCTGCAAAATGAGGCCCCCGAAGATGATGAGTCCACTCAGGGGGTTGTTGACGAACATTACCTGGGACGCTCCTCGCAGAACCCAATCCAGCAGCTGCAGCAAGAAAAACTGTCCTAAAAAAAAAGTTCATGCATTACTCAGACTGTAGATGATGTTATTTCCAGAGTACCACTAATATGACTTACTTTCCATCCATTTTCCGAACACCTCCATGTCTCCTGAGAAGTAGGACACGCCCTTCAGAAAGCAGGCCTTGGTGCCCTGCAGGGCTGGGAGTCCTGCAGGCCTCGCTTGGCCGTCTCTCCCATCTACCTGAGAGGGGCTGTGGTCAGACTGGTGGTTAAGGTGTGCCATCGGGTTGGAGCTCCTGGACAGGTCATCAGAATAGAAAGTTTGTTTTTTTTAATACAAAAGCAGAATCTTAGAAAAYAAACAGGTGATGTATTGATGGAGGACCAGCTTACGGTAAACACAGGAGAGTTGGTTGAAGAGCTGCTGATATTCTTGAGAATATGCTAAAAAAGAAAAGAAGTAAAAAAAAAAGTCACTCGGCAGCAAATTTCTGTCGTGCTTGTTACAAATACTAAAACTTTACAGAAGAAAACTGTTCATGCGCTGGTGTTTTAAGGTAGTTATAACTTGCATATGAGTGCAGGAGTTGTTACACTTTAAGTCATGAGGTTACAGGTTGGAGAATATTTTGCCTGAAAATCAATTTCTTAAAGAAAGAATCCAGCATCTTTTCTCTAATCTTCAAATATAAGCTCATTTCTGTCCAACTCTTAAATATTATTTTCTATGTTGCATTTCTATTTTCCTGATTGCACAACGTTGCAGGTTACAACAAACGTCTCCAAAGAGCTCCTACCTTGGTGCAGTGAGGTCCGTTCATATGCTTTAGACCTTTCTCAGGCCACATGGACTGCCTGCTTCTTCGGACTCGCACCACAGAGGCTCACAAGAAAGGCTTTTATACAAACGGACTCCACCTTTCCTCTCACACCCACCTCATGCTGTCGGCGTTTACAGGAATCCTCAGCACCCAGCAGGGTCAAGCTTGACCTTATTTAATTATCTGTAGGGACAAACATCTCTGAGATGTTTTTCTTATTTATTTTTTTGTTCGGATGATTGGAGGGCAGCTCGGCTGAGGTGAAGTCAGGTATTTTCTCTTGGTTATGTAAATGTGATTTCAAAATGGTTAAAAATGCTTTTTTAGAAGTCGTCTCCACGTCTAAGTTACTGAAATAGAAATGTATTTTTATTCCAATGCTTCATTCAGGAAGCTTACAAAACATTTCTCCTCAGAAAAAGTTGCTTTTTGTTTCAATCTAATTATTCTTCAAACATTATTCAGTGATATAGAAATGAAAGAAAAAACACATCCTGTCCACAACACTTTTTCTTTTAAAAATTGGCCAAATTTTTTTTTCATTTTTGTCTTTTCTCTGTTTTGCAGTCTAAAAATGACATTTCTAAAATTAAGACAGTTGACCTCTAACCTACAAATGAATCATAAAAGAGTTTTTTTTTAGAGAGTATTTTTCAATACATTATTTGAAACTGGCTGCAGGTGAAATATTAAACAGCAGTAAAAGGTTTTAAAATAAAGATTTATTTCCTTGATTAAAAACAGATCAGAAAAACAAACCGCTGAAGAGATGAATTATTTTAAATATAGTTTATTCATTTCATTTAATAAACAAAACGTTACAAAACAATGCAAATCAAATAAAATGAAAGGCAGCAGATAAAAAAAATCTTACTGCTCCTAATTACAAAAAATATATTAATTTCAAACAATAATAAACCAAATAAAAAAAAAACAAAGTTGAACTCAAACAGTAACTCATACAAATACAAATTAAACAATTTCATATTTCTTTAACAATTTTACTTTGATCATTGGTTTTGAAGGAATTAATTGATCCCATGGTTTTATAATCATTTTCCAGATTATTCCATAGTCGTGCACCTTTTTTTTACTGAAGTTCATCTGTCCTTCAGATTTGGTCGGATTTTTGGTTTAACAAACATTTGTAGTCCCTTCAAATTATAGCAGCTTTCCCTTTTAGCAAAATTAGATTAGATGTTTGAAGGTAACATTTTTATTAGCTTGATACATAACCTGCAGAATGTTGTAATCAACCAACTCATACAATTTTAATAATTTTAATCGATGAAACAATATATTAGGTAGGTGATAGTAATGCTTTCTTGTAAAAATTCTTATGGCTGTTTTGTAAAATAAAAATAGGATTTAGTGATTGTTTTGCATGCATTTCCCCAGACTTATACAATAAATCAAATGTGGAACAATTAATGCATTATATAGTATAAATAGTCCTTTACTATTAAATAACTCCTTAACTTCCTACAATACTGCAATAGATTTTGCCATTTTTGTTTTTAAGTAATTTATATGAGGTTTCCACGACAATTTTTCGTCATTGATGACACCCAAAAGCTAGACTTCAGTGACTCTGCAAATCTCAAAACCATCCACTCATTGAACATCAGTTTTTCGTTCTATTACTAAATATCATGTCATTTGTTTTATCCAAATTTAATGATAACTTATTATGATTAAACCAATTTTGTACTTTTAAAAATTCCGTTTCCAACATCTGTTCTATATTTTTACCCAGGCAAAAAAATAAAAAATGTAGTGTCTTCTGCAAATAAAACACATTTAAACAGCCCCGACACATTTACCAAGTAATTAATATGTAGGAGAAACTTCTTTGGTCCCAGTACAGAACCCTGTGGAACCCCACATACAATATTACGAAGTTCAGATCTTACATCATTAATTTGTACAAACTGTTTCCTATTAGTTAAATAACTTGATATCCACTGTAGTGCTGGACCTCATACCATATTTGTTTAATTTCCCAAGAATACCGTGGTCAATAGTATCACATGMTTTTTTTTTAAATCAACAAAAACACTGACTGTTGTTTTTGATCAACAGCTGTTATGTGTTCAATTAGGTCCATAAGAGCCATTGATGTTGAGTTATTAGCTCTAAAACCATATTGATTTTTACTTAAAATATTTTGTTTTTGACTAAACTGATCTAATCTGGTGAAAACTTTTCCAAAATTTTTGAAAACTGGTAATGATATTTGTCTAAACATACAGTATGTTTCTCACCATTCTTGTAGAGAGGGATTACTTTGTTGTTATTGTAATGGTCAGTAAACTTTGAGAGTTTTGGTTTCTTGTTTTTATTTTTGTAAATATTTATTTATCTCATRGCCAGTAGATAATACCATGTGGGCAGGAGATAGTTAATGTTTGGCTGGCTACAAGATAATTATTGTGCAGAGGCTGTTGACTGTTAACATGAACAAGTTTGAATTTATTTCATTTTATGAATTATGACACATTTCAGTCATTTGTGGTTAGGGATTCTTAGCTTGAGACACTTACTGTAAATCAACTGCTCAAAATGATCTTTTACCAACAAGATAGTAGCCTTATTCATGTGTGCATTTTCTTTTATCTAATGTCACCAGACAGGCTTCATAGAAACCTCCTTAAAAAGTGCTTTCTTAAACCTTCATCAGCACACTCGCTCTGTTTTTGCCCTATCCTATTTTCTTTACCTTTTTGTTTGTGTTTAGAAATTTTTAGTCAGCATTTTGCTGATTTTAGCTTCTAGCTAATGTTTGTTTCTTTTAGCTGGTGCTTTTCTGGGTTTAGCTTTCAGCTTGCCTTCTTTCACAGTTATTTTTAACTAGCATTTTGATAGCTTTTAGCTACATCTCTGCTACTTTTAACCAGCATTTTGAATTGTTTTAGCTTAGCGTTTTGCTACTCTTCACTTTTACCTTCTGCTTCTTTTAGCTTTAACAACTCAAGTTTAGTTTCATTAAAACTTTTCAGCAATCATTCAGCACCCAGGTTACTGCACTTTCACAGGAATTAGATTTCTCAAATTATTTCTCGTTTTATTAGACATTCAAATTTTTAAAAACATTTCTGAAACAAAAATTCTATCCCTGAATAAAACCAGGAGGATAAAGTTTGAAGTTATATTTTGCTAACATAAAGTGAAGAGTTTTTTTTTTCCAGAAAGGCTTTAGTACACCATGAATCAAAGAAATCTAAATTGTTTTAGAAAAAAATAAGTTCTGACATGTTTTTGAGAAGAAATGTTTAAATCAGGCAAAATGGGGGTGGGGCTCTCCAGTAAATGTATAAAATATRAAAAAAATAGTGTAGTTTAACATCTGACAAAGCGCAGATCATAAAATAAACAGATTATGAGAAAATTTTAAGCATAACATTGTAAAAGTTACTGTGAATGCAGGTTTMCATGTTGACCTGTTTACAGTGCACCTGTTGCATTCTGGGATAGAAGCTCCTTGTTACTCATGAGCAGAGTGGACACAGAAAACTAGTCAGATTATGTACAAGTTTGATAAACACCATGAAACTTTTATTTTTCCACTCCTATGCTCAAACATGCTCACATTTTGCAAACTTGTTCAAGTGTCACATAAATTAGTTAGATAAACACAGGAANGCCAGGGTGTACCCCCACCTCTCCCACAGTGATTGACGGTGAAAGCACCAGCTCCCAGAGGAGAAGAGGGTAAAGAAAATGGATGGTGTTTCTTATTGTGAAACTTTGCTTTCAGTTGCTTTTATAAGAACGTCTCAGTCTTTCTTTCATTCTTTGATTCTGCCTGTTTGTTATCAGTGATCTATGTTTTCTGTTACCAGCTTAGCCTGGCAGTTCAGTCCTCTGTTTCCTGTGGCTGCTCTGCCGCACACACCTGCTGTTCATCTGCAATCAACCAGCTGCATTCACTTGTCAATCACTCCTCTGTGTGCTTATACTTCTGAGGTTTCTGTCAAATTCACAATGATCATCATGTCTTCTGGTTTTTGTTGCTAAAATGTGTTTAAGTTTGTTGAAAAAAAGTTTGGGTCTTTACCTGCACTTCCTGAGCCATCAAACCTGTCACTGACTTTTAAAACAAAGTTTGGAAGCATTTAGAGGAAGCAGCAGTTCTGTTTTTATGCATAAAA